TGGATCTACTACTCATTTGAGCTCAGGTAAATTTCTTAACCTTTTTGTGTTTCAATTTCCACATCTATAAAATGGGAATAATAATTTCTGAAATGATATTTTTCTTGTACTTAAAACAGAGAAGTTGTAGGACCAGTTCAAGATTTCATGGGGAGGAAGGGAAGAAGGTCACCCACAAAGTCACATGACTTTGTGGGCAGGGACAGTGGAAAAAAGAACTTATTTAGGTTTTACCCCATCTAGCATAGTATAAGCAGGATAGCAATTACACAATTAAACAAATACATGAAGTATCTATGATGTGTATTGGTTTTCATTGTGAAAAAAAGTCAACTTGAATGCTAAATGTAAATATATAAACAGGAGAGTCTCAGTTTGAGCCTAATCTTGGCTCACTTTTGGATTTAGGTATGTCTAAAAATTATGGCACCTCTTTGCATAAAGGATTAAAGATTCTCCCAGGAAATAACTTATTGCAAATATTCCAAAGGGCAGAACTGGGTGAGGAAGTGAGGGTATCAGCCAAAAATGTTTGAGGGGCATAACTTCACGAACTGCAAAATTTCTTTGAGGTTGCGTATTTTCTTTTAAGATATCACCAATTTTGTATTTTGTTTAATATGCTTTTTTAATATTTAAAATATTTATTATGGAATAACTGATGTTTATTATGGAAAACTAATGTTCTAAGATGATGGTAAAGTTCATTCCATGGCTACAAGCTGGTGCATTTCTGCAACACCTATATGTACTGCAGCTTTAGAAACATGGTCCCACAGAAAGACAGCCAAGAGGTTTGTTCAAAGTACTTATTCAAGGATGATGGGCTATTAAGTTGATTCCTAGTAGGACACAATGTCTGTCACTCAAGTAACTAACCTTCCAGTGCCCACTCATTGCAAAGGTCTTGCAATTAAAATTATGTGTATAAAAAAAAAGAGCAGTATGTAAAAGAGGTCTTGTTCTGAAATCACCAAGGTTTCTTGAAAGTAAAGGCATCAGAACTGGATCTAGAGCTTTTGGATGGCACCAGGGGTTGCGGTAGTGACAGGAGATAATATTTTTGGTACAGGTATCCACACTACCTGTATATTAGCCACATTAAAAACCTCTCCAAATACAAAAACATTCATCAATAGGAGGTATATAGGAAGTCAGAGAAGGACACAGGAAACATGATAAACACTTCATGGTGACCAGTAGTGTTTATTTAGAGAGTATATGTGCAGCGATCGCTCAACTCACAGTGTCCAGAATATTTGGTTGGAATTTGAGGGTAAAATGGAGATTTGATGTGGCCAGTGAACATACAAAGAAATGTACTCTTTGTGACAATTACTGTGGCCTTACTCTTTTTGCTCTAGCTGTTGTAGCATGGGAATACTGGGGTGAGCTAAAAATCTCTATGAACATTAGCCCAGAAGTTTCCATCCTGAACTCAGAAGGACTCTAGAAGATTTGTGGAAGTGTGTCAGGGGCCAAAGACAGAAGGCAAAAAAGACTAAATAGGCAGGGTTACCTGGAACCCATGTCAACTGAATCAGCTCCATTTCCTATTTTTCTCAAACACTTTCAAAATATTCCACATCAGTCTTCATCTGAAGAGTGAAGTTTGCTGCTTAAAAAAAGAAAATGGTTTCAAAATTATAATGCTAGAATATTGGTGAGGAAATGGATAGAGAAGAAATGTATTAGGCTATGGAAAATAAGATTAAGTATACCTAGCAAGAGGGGAGCCAAAAATTTGGAGTCTCTGGAAGAGTATCTTAATCTTTTTAGGTGCTCAATAATATATAATTTATGACAAGAGAGGGGAGAAGTATCATGTCCAGACAGAATGAAGAGAAAAATTTTATATGAACATTGTAAAAATTTTTGGTACATAACTTTAGCACCAAACTAGAAGTTTCACTTAGACTACCATTTCTGAGGATGGACCTAAATTGTAAGGTAGAAATTAGGAATGATTATATCACAGATATATTCCTGGGGGATATGGCAGAGAAAGTTAGCAATATTGCATATGTATATGGATTTGTGAATATTTTTTATCTAATACAGGATATAGAATATTCCTATATGGGAATATAGGAAAACAGACACTGCACTTAACTATTGAGAAACTTGTTGTTCTTATCTACATTCCTCTGCACTTAAAGTGTTTTTCTCTTCCTGGCTGCTTTTTAATAATTTTTCACTTTGTCACTACTTTTGAGCAATTTGATTATGATATACTTTGTTATGGTTCTTTTCATGTTTCTTTTGCTTTGGGTTCACTGAACTTCTTAGAACTGTAGATTTATATTTTCACCAAATTTGGAAAACATTTTACTGTGATTTCTTCAAAAAGATTTTTGGTCTCCACCTCTTCTCTTTTGGGAATTCAGTTATGTTATATTTTGGTGTCTTGAAGTTGTCCCATTGATACATTGTTACATTTTTTAGGCTTTTTTCACTATGTATTTCACTTTTGATCATTTCCATTGTCTTCAAGTGAGCTAATCTTTATTTCTGTAATGTCATTCTGTCATTATCTCATCTAGAAGGTCCAGACCTATGCCTATATAACAGACCAATGCCTATATAGAAAGTTCATATAAGAAAGAAGTGTGGAGTTGCAGTTAAGGAGGAATGAATGGATTAGTGCTAAGTGCTTCTGGTACAATTGGCTGTACTTTTTTTTTAAAGAAATTTGATCCCTACCTCACACTGTACATTGTAATAATTAATTCAAGATTTAACTGAAAGTCAGAACTTTAAAAGCTCTAGAATACATTAATAGGATTATATCTCTATAATCTTGAAATAGGGAAAGATTGCTTAAACATTACAGTAATTCCAATCATAAAGACTATAAATTTGACTATTTTACAAGTGAGAAATTGTTTATAAGAGACTTCAAAAGGTAAGTAAAAAGAAAGCCAGTGAGAGAAAATACTTGCCAAACTTGAAGTGACAATGTACTGATATGGAAAATATAGCCACAAATCAATAAAAAAAGAAACCTATTGAAAAAGAGAAAATTAAAATGGCTAATAGAAAAACAAATGCTTCACTTATTAGTAGTGAAGAAAATATAAATTAAGATCTCAGTGAATACTATCTGTTTACTCACTAAACTGACTAAAATTAAAAAGACTGATAATATAAAACTTTGCTAAGGTAACTCAACAACTCTTATTTACTCTCACTGGGATAAAAATTCTTAAGTCAATAAAAAAATTTGTTACTTTTAAGTTAAAAAAATTTAAATTGTGTGGTAAAACGCACAAAACATAAAATTTACCAATCTGACCGGTTTTAAGTGTATAGTTCCGCAATGTTAGGTACAGACACATTATTATATAACCAATCTCTATAACTCTTATAACTTTTCATAACTCTAGGGACAAACCTATAGCAAGACAAAGTTAGGATACAGGAAGTTAGGATAATTGGGAGACCACATTACAGAGGAATGCAGAAATGTCTCATCAAATTAAAGATATAAAGTTATTATAGGATTTGGGGCAGGGTAGAGTTAAGGTGAAATCCAAATGAAGAAGTATTTGGTAGGCTCAAAGCAAAACAGAGCTGTTGTGCAGAAGCCAACATAAGGTTAGACTGAGCAGTGGACCCAGGTCTATGTTTGCCCAGAATTGATAAAGCTAGGATAGGTGTGCTTGTGTCCAGAGGTCCCTCATCTTAAGCTCGGTATCCCTAGTTTGGAAATAAAGGCTGCTTCTTTGTGTCAAACTAACTTAGAACATCCAGGCAAGAGTAGGAGGTTTCATTGGTATGGATATGATTTTAAACAGCAAATTTTATGTTAGTTTATGATTTTTCGAGAGTAAGGGTTCTAAGAAAACAATGGTCAAAACAGATGTGATGACGCTTCACAGCTGCAGCCTGACCTTGGGGGAAATATTGTCTCCTTTAACTTCTCAGCTGGTTTTATCTGTGTCTTATTAGTGTCTCTTATCTGTCAAAACACAGGACAACAGGCCCCAAATGGTGCTGCTTATGGTAGGCCTTAGGATCCCAAATCAGATTAGTTTCAGCTCTCCCAGAAATGGAATTTTTTGCCAGGCAATCAGGAATCACCTGATCTGCACTATTTAGGAATCTGCCTCACAAATCCCTGCATACCCTAAAGGAAAATAACTTCAATAACCAACTTGCTTTTTTTTGCAATTGTTTAACTTCCTTGTTCCCACTACCTTCTTCCTATAAAGTTGTTCATTTTACACAGTCTCTTGGAGCTTCTATTTAGATTGGATGCTGCCCAATTCGAATCAATTTTTGCTCAAATAAACTCGTTTTTCTAAAATGCCTCAGTTTATCTTCCAATAAATCCCAGCATAACGAATAGCCAGTCGTTTTTTTAAGGGGCCGACATTTTGCTTTCTCACTGCAAATTCACCGCATAACACGTTTTTAGGCCACGTTAACTTGATCATAAGACTCTGGAAAATGATAGAAATTGGTCAACTTTTTTTTCCAAAAGTGAGCCGAGAAGGAAGAGCTATAGAAATCCTAAGGTCCAGCCCTGTTTAGCCAGGTACAACCCCTCCCTCCACACACTCACACCTTTTCTTTCTCCAGCTTCCAAAGTATCCCAAAGTCGCACTAAGGACGTGGGAAACAAAGAACTAGTAACATCTTTCCTGTTTTAAATCAAATTTAACATAGCCTGGGAAGCTGTCGGGCAGAGCGCTGAGCTGGGAGAAAGGGGACGTGCTTTTTGAACTGATCAGTTTAGGCGCTTTCCCTGTGCATACCTCACTAAGGACGACGTTAAGCAGCACGTCCAGCGGATGCGACACAGAATGGCCACGCCACATCGCAGTCCGCCTGTCTCGGCGCCGGCTCTTCCCTTCCTGGGGCTCTACTCCGGCCCCGGCCCCGCCCCCTGGCGGTCACGGGGCGCCTCTGGCCCCAACTCCCGTCTGGTTTGGAGGTCGGCTCCTGGCCACGCCTCCCGGCGTTCTCTCAGCCCCGCCCCCTGCCTGAGCGCGGCTCCTGGCCCCGCCCTTGAGTGGCGCCCCGGAGACCGGTTGCTGGTGGGACTCCTCCCTGCGCGGGGCCAAGTAGGGGCGGAGCCCGGCCTGCAGCTGTGAGGACACAGGCAGCGTCCGGAAGCCGGGGACTCGCGGCCATGACGGCGCCGGCCCGCTGCTTCTCGCTGCTCCGCGGCCGGCTGGCCCGAGTCCCGGCGCTGGGCCGAAGCGCGGTACCGCCCTTGGGAGTGCTGAGAACTCCCGGACGTGCGTTCCGGGGCTTCCGCAGCAGCGGCGTGAGGTACAGGCGCCCCAGGGCGCTCATCTCGGGTGTGGGGGCACCCCCGGTCATAGCCGCAGGCCGTGGGAGGGGTGGCGGGGCGCGGGCCCTTGGCACTTGCGGCTTCCGCACGTAAGGCCAGCAGCCTGGGACAGCTGCCCAGCTGGTTGGGGTTAGGGGCGGGCGGGCCTCCGTTCTGGACTTGGCCTAGCGGGCCTTGCAGGTGGGTCGCGTCGGCCTCAAGTCGGGGCATTTGGACGGGCTTGGCTTTGGGCTTCGGCACCAGAACGTACCTTCTTTGGGATTGGTGCCGTTGAGTGATTTAGGAAGACATTTGACGCCCGCAGGGAAGGTGCCATCGAAACACGAGGTCTTGTTTCAAATATATGCTTTTGTTTTTTGTTTAGTAAACAAAGCAGTGGACGTTTTCCAGATGGTTTACTAGTGTTTGAGTGCTCAGTTCCTTTGTTGATGGTAAAAGGGAGGTCTTTTTCAGTTCGGAAATTCTTAAATTATTTTACAAATACAAAATCAGACCTTGATCTTGATTTCTCACTCTTTTTCTGTATGGCGCTTTCCAAACCTGATCTTAGAGTGGTGTATCTTTGGACGTTGTTGCAGGCTAACACATTGCAAATACAATACTGGTTTTAATTCTTGTGCACATTGGTGACCAGGACCACTTAACCCTTCTGTCATCTTCTCGTGGTTACAAACTCAAACCCGAGAAACTAAAAATACATTCCCTTCACCCAGAGCCAGTAGGTCCAGAAGAAACTGTTTTCAGACTTTGAGGGCTTCCAGTAATGCTCTTTAATTGCAGTTTACGTGGCCAGAGATCGTATCTTTTCTTTTTTTGTATCCCCAGTGTCGGCACAATACCTGGAAGAAGTAATATGTTCAGTAATATGGGAAAAGCTTCTGCGTATTTAATTTAAATTAACTCCTCCTTTTATGCATATTTTTGGACCTTAGTCTGAGAGACTGAAATACAAAAAAATTCCCAAATGGTTTACGTTGGATGTAGTTTCTAGTGACTAGGTTTTTCACAAAGATGTGAGAAAATAACAGGATTCAGAGTTCTGGTTGTGGAAGTTCTCATGGTGTTTGAAAAAATTTGCCAATTGGTTTGGAATGACCAACTCCACTGTCTAGGAAAAGCGTATTTTGTGGGATTCTGTTTGTATTACAGAGTTGAGGGAATTCATACTATAGTCACTCTATTTACTTAGGTATTATTTTTTAAATTTCAGTTGTTTTAGGCTTCTTTCCAGAGCAAGGACAGCCTTTTCCAAATTGTGTATAAGTTGATGAATTTCCCTGTGTCAGCTTGATATAAACAACCCCATCGTCTTGTACCCTGAATGAGAGTCACAATTACAATCCAAACATTTCTTCGTAGCCACTTGCTTTGCACACATACACATGCACACACATGAATAATTCAGATTTTTAAAGTTATATTTAAAGGCCTCTTTGTAATTTAAAGTAGTTGAGTGCAATAATTTTGGCAAGTTACTCTTAAAATAAAGAGATATTACTTTCAATGCAGCTGCTTTCAGCCCCATATGGTGCAGATTGTAACTGTATAAAAATAAATATTTTTGATAGTTTTATTTTTTAAGGCAGCATTAATTAAATTAGTACAGGGTGGTGTTTTTTGACATCCTCTTGTCATTGAATACCAAATGTGAAGTTGCAGTTGGCTGTAAGGTTGAGAAACCCCTGTGGACTGGTGGGCCTCGGGTGGGGAGGAATTCGGACAGTGTGTTGATACTTATTGGTGTCTCATTTCTCTTCTAGGACCAGCAGAGAGAAGAGATTCCATCTTCCAGAGGTTGCCACTGTCTGCCTCCCCACTTGTCCCCAACCTCAGTCATCTTTTCTTAACATGTAGTGACACATTAATTGTTTACTTCATAGTGAGTGTTATTTAAATTCGACACCATTCCTATTGACTTGAAATTTGAACCTTAGTGTTATTCTTAACTGAAAAACTGTTTTAGAGTTTGGTCAACTCTTTCCCCTATGACATTGTTTTAAATTAACAGATTAATTACCAGTTTCTGACCTATATAAACCCTTAAATTAAAATGAAAAAACATTTTTTATTATTTTTCTTATTTTTGAGTGATTAGATACTTATAATAATGGAACATGTAAATACTTTTTTCATGGAGAATTTTTTTTAGTAAACTGCATTTCAAGAAATAATGTTTGATGGAATTGAAAGTTAAAAAATTTTGAAGTATCATTTAACATTTTTCTCTCGATGGTTTTCACTTTAAACTTTGCAATGAAATTTTTCCCCTATTTACTCATGAGAAGTTACATCTTACTAATTGGGAGAAAAGATATTTAATGTCAAAGAAATAGGCTCCTCTGTTTGTTGCACTTTATTGTTTCTTGAAATGAGTTACCTGAACAGGCAAAAAGTTAAAAATAAAAAAATTTTTGGTGACTAAATTTTCTCATATTGCCTTGCTCTTTGAGGAGTTTACAAGTCAAAATGTCCTTGGGTTATGAAATCACATGAATGTTTTGACCCAGTGATTTTCAGTGTATGGAGCCAGGCTGCAGCCTTTCCCGCTTGGAGGGGAGGTCACAAACCTTGTACATAAATGCGTTGCTCAGAGTACCTTTGCAGGAATGTTACTACAGGGATTGTCCCAAACCCTGCTGTAGGTAATCCTATCTGAACTCATTGTTAGTCACTTAGATGGATATCTGCAAGCATTTGTACCATGTCTGTCTGTAGCTTAGTGATTCCTAAAGTCATCAATTTGGTAGAGTCTCTATTCCCTCCCCACCTGCTGTGATCCTTTTAGCATTTGTAAGATTTTGTGGACTGGCGTATAGCTCTTAATGGAAAGCCTCACCTTTATGTCTCATTTTATATGGCTTTATAATTTTTGCAGCTAGGCCAGCATTTTAAAAAACTCCACATTTTTGGAGCTACTAGAAGACAGCAATTTATATTGCTTAAATATTTATGTCTTGTAGAGTGAGTAATTTAATGATTTTTGAAAACATTTTATCAGTGAGGTTGTTCATTTTTCTTTAGACTCCCTTCAAGTACTTAATATTTTTATCTGAAGTAGAATTATTTAATACCTTTCATCCTCATGTAAAGCTTGAAGACCTCAGGCCCATTATTAAAGCTGATTTTTCTGTAGACTGATTTCAACCAATATAGTTAGTTCCATGACTAACAAAGGCAGTTTTTCAAAGTCATAGTTTATTTTGTTGGCAAATACAATGGTATGGTTTTTCCATCTTAATGCCTAACTTTTTCTAATGAAAGTAAGATGTGGTAACACTCTGGCTACAGTTTTGAGTTCTAAGCAAGTTCTTAGGTCATTTAAGTTTAGAACCTTAATGTTTAACCATTTAGTGTCTTACATTGTAATAGCTATGTCCCAGGAATTTCCGAAATAATGTTCTAATGTACTGACTCCAAAATTAAGTTTTCTGATTAAATGGATCAATAGATGAAAAAAAGGAGACTAATATTAATCTCATCTTGCTAGTCATGGTTTTAGTAATTTAGCAATTTCTTTGATGACCTGAATCTTTGTCAGATGCTTTGAAGTTGTTATCCTTTTACATTAATACTCTAATGTGATGATAAAAACAACAGGAAAAGAAAACACCAGATAATCTTCCATGGTCACATACTCTCATGGAATTCCATAAAGCTCAGTGAAGATTTTTAAAATAGTTTGGCTAAGAGATAATTAAGTTCTGGAGGGAGGATTAAAGGGACAGGTGCTTGGGTGAAATTTTAATTTTCAGTGGGATGAATGAATGAGTAGTAATAAGTGAGATTTGCTATTAAAATGTGCAGTTTGGACCAGAAAAAAAATATACCTGAACGATAGGAAACTTTGTGACCAGAGTGAAAGAATCCAAACTTTAATGTCAAAGAACTAAAGGTTGGATATAATCCAGGAAGGCTTATCCAGCTGCTCCACTTAACATTGCATCATAAGGATATTCTGCATTGCTATTGCTTTTACTAACATTTTATTGGCTGCATCATATTACATTAAGTAAATTGGCCATAATTTACCTAACTATCTTGCTATTATTCAATGTCTAGTCCTTGGAACATATGAAATACTTTACTCTCAGATTCAGGTCATGTTTTTGTCAGCATACCAACCAGCTTTATTCACTTAATGATCAGAAGTCTGTACATTTCTGTAATTACTCCTATTTAAACGGTGTCCCTAAACCAAAAGACTAAAGATTCATAAATTCTACAGTGAGGGCATATGTAGTTTAAAATATAGGTGTTTCCTCTGGCCCTCTCCCTCTTTCAGCTATTTATGATTAGCTTTGCAATGAACATCATCTTGTCTTTAATCCAGTTGTGTTGTTGGAAAATAAATTCTTAGGAGTATTTAATGAGCCCTTACTCTGTTAAGGACTTTGCTTAGGTTTTTCACATACAGTATATCCTTTAATCTTCACAACAATGGAAGGAAGTAGACTATTACTGTTCCCAGTTAATAGGTTGGGTAATTGAGGCTTAGAGAAATTAAATAACTCATCTATAGTAAGTAAATGGTGAAGATAGGATCTGAACCTGCATGATCACACTTTTCTCTGTAAGCAGTTTATTATTGTTGACATGTCTCACTACTGCTTTTCCTCTTTTTGAAAACTTTAAATCTCGAACTTTTTGAATCAAGGTAATTTTGCACAAAATCTTAAAAATTGTTTTGTCATATTTCCTTAAGGGTATTTCTTAATCTGAGACTTCATGGGTAGAATTAAAGGGATATATAAATTTAGATGGGAGATCAATGGATGGGAGATCAATAACCTCTAATTTGGCATTTTCTTCGATTGTGAATGTTGGCAACAAACCACAGTAATACTAGTGGTACTTGTGTTGTTGCCAATAAAACCCACAGGTAATTTAATATCTCAGTGTTGATTCAGACTTCAAAGCGCAGATTATATTTTCATCACTACTTTGTTGTTACGGTAGTTAGACCTGCCTCTAGGTCCTG